GTATGTATGTATGTATGTATGTATGTATGTATGTATGTATGTATGTATGTATGTATGTATGTATGTATGTATGTATGTATGTATGTATGTATAATTCATGCTACACTTATATACATACATACTAATTATATACCGTTTTCAGTGTCAGAAACAGAAAGAAAGAAAAATTAAACAATTTAAGGGACTTGCTCTCTCTTTTCTCTCTTGGCATATTTTTCTTATAACAAACAATGAATGCAATTCTCTTGCATAAAATATACAAAATGAAATAAAGTAAAATAATAATAATAATAATAATATTAATAATAATAGTAATAAAAAAAAAAGAACCCATTACTTGTGGTCGTTTCACTTGACGAAATTCTTTCTACTTGGCACGGATCTCTTAAGCCGCATAGCATTTTATTACTTTTTCTTTTTTTATGTTTTGCAAACAGGTAAAAAGCTTAGATCGTTTTTCGTATCCTCTTTCTTTTTTCATTTCCGTTCTTTTACTTCAATTTGTTCTTTTTTCTCTCTTTTCTTTTTGCTTTTTGTCTTTTCTTGTATCTTTGTCAATTTGATTAAGGAAAAATGATAATGGAAATTAAATAAGGAAAATGAATATGACTTATTGGATGTTAGAAGAATTTCGAAGCTGATTTAAAAAAAAAAAAAACTCAACGATCTCAAACCCGAACACGTTTTTCGAGCCGCATATTATTATACTCTCATACGCGACCCACAAACGCGTGTTTGAAATATGTCAATTATTAGCGAGCTGTCGAAATTCATCACAACATAATAATTATATCGTTCTAAAACGCGTAACAACAATCCGTTTTTTATGCTCGCTCGATGTTTTCTAAACAGACGCATGTACACTCACGCACACACGCACGTAACACACATACACGCACACACTCTTTTTTTTCTCTCTTTCTTTCTAAAAAAAAAACAAACATCATTTTATCGACAATATCCATTCAATACGAAGTTTTATATTTAGAATAGAATTCGTCGAATGAGTGGGGGGAACGATCAATAAACTAAAGTAATCTGTTGCAAGGAAAAACGAAAAGAAATATATATACGACACAACAAATCAAAGGAAAAAGAAAAGGAGAATTTAAAAAACCAAAAAAAAATAAAAAGAAACACAACTTTATAAGACTCTTTCGCGTATTTGACCTGACAATAAGTATCATTTGTAAAAAGTGTTTCATTGAATTATCAATATTTCGTATAAGTCAATTAGAAGAGTCTTTGATAAAGTGAAAAATGATCGATTTGATTTTTCATTAATATCTTCTTCTATTTAATTTCCACTTCAAAAATTTTACTCTCTACTACGCGCATGTTATTGATACATTGACAATTATTAATTTCATTTTGGTATCATTGTTTTGGTTTTAAAAGCGTTTGGTAGAAAAATGTTGTCCTTATCGATCTTTGCAACAACATTCTCATATTATTACATTCTCTATATATTATTTACGATAAAATTAAGGCACTTCTACGCTCAGCAAATTGTAGTCAATTTCGTTTTTACCGCTTTCTTTCCTTTTAATTTACTAACTCCTTTTTCTCTATTTCCTTTATTATTTTTTGTAATCTTTTTTTTTCTATTGATTTCTTTTTGAAAATTTCACGGTAGGAAACATTTATGTCGCGGACCTTACGCTAAAAGCTTTTTAAATAAACGATCGACAATTAGTATATTACGTTAAATCGAATGGAAATAATGAGTCTCGTATTAAAACTGAAAGGGTACCGATAAAACACCGAACGAGCGTGTCATAATTTTGAAATAGAATCGAAATTTTGTAACAGTTTCATCACACAGAACATTCACTTCTTTCTCTTTCTTTCTCTTTCTAATAAAAAAGAAAAAGAAACACATTGTTTATGTAATCGTCATTTTTCACTTTGTTATTGTCCAATTCTCATTGGATTAAATAAAAAAATTTTTTTTTACGCAATGTTATTGCAAATTTGTGGTCTCATTGATAGGCAAATACGTAGAAGAGATACTTTAATATCGTCACTTGAACTGATTAAAATGGTAAGAACTATTTTGATAAAAGATTTGAACGAATTTATAGTTAACAATTCGTCGTATGTACATCGAGCGGCACAATTGCAGGAGAATTATATACGAGAAAATACGCGTGAGTCTCTCTCTCTCTCTCTCTTTCTCTTTCTTTTTCTCTTTCTCTCATTTCACTTATTTACTCTTTCTTTCTTACACTCATTTATTCAATGACTCACTCACTCAATAATTCACTCTATCACACTTGCCTTTAATTTTCATTCTCACACGCATATACTCTATCCATCTTTCTTGTTCTCTTACGTTTTTTCTTTCCTCCTTTATCTTTATCAAAGGACTCTCCATTTTAAACATCCATTAGTTTAGATCGCGGGAGCGACTGAACTAGTCATTACGACTAGTTTGCGGTATGCGCAAGCGCCATGGGCCCAGTGAGCCTGGACCCTCTTCTCATTCGGGTACCAGCCCAATTTACAAGAGCCCTACTTGACATTTTCAAGTTTTCTGGTGCACACATACGACTCAGGCAACAAACTCTTTCTTTCTTTCTTTCTTATTCACTCACTCTCTCTCTTTCTCTCTCTCCCTTTCTTTCTTTCTCTTTCTCACTTTTTATTTCTCCAATGAACAAGAGGCGTTCGCGAACATAGAAGACGATGCGAGGGAGCGAATCTACCAGAACGAACTTGTGGGTTTTTAAACCTCGTGAAAATCATTGTGTGCTCTTTTTTTTATTTGATCTCTGTTTCTTTTTCTTTTCTTTTTTGGTGTGTGTCCACATATGTAGTATGTATAGTTTTAAATTTCTTCTTGCAGAGTTTCGAATACTCGCCGTATGTTTGTAGTAGTGGTGGTTGTTGTTGTATTAGTGGTGGTGATTTTGGTATACTGGTGGGTGGTTTTAACGGGCTAATTGTATACATACGTAAATAACGTAAATAACGTTTAACGATATCATGTTTTAAATTTAACTTCTATCTTTTCTTTCTTTTCCTTTTTTTTTTCATTTTGGTTTCGTTAATTCTCGTAATCGTCAGTGTATCGATATATGGTTGTAGATGTAAAGGAGGACTGTGTCTTTGTGTAGTGTGTTCGTTTTGACAGCTTCCTCTATTCCTATGACTCCCTTCTATGATTGCATCGCCTCTAACAGGGCTATAATTGGGCCGGGCCCCGATTCGTATTTACAGATGGCATTTGAACTGCACACGGACCCAGGGTCTCACTGAGCTTGTGCACTAGGATCGCACTGCAACAGTCGCACGATCGAGGGATCACTCTTAGCACCTTCGATAAATTCTTCGAGTGACAATTTGCCGTCCTTATTTTTGTCCATTTGACGAAATATTTTGTCGGTTCTCTTCTCCGGTGTTGACTCGTCCTCTGGCATTTTCATCACGGACCCTACCATCTTGTATATTGCCTGGAAGGAGGTAATTAACTAGATATTTTTTTTGTTCTCTATCTCTTTCTCTCTCTCTCCCTCTCATCCTTTTTTTTGTTCCAATTTTAATATTCTCACCCTTACGATTCGTTGTAATAAAAACGAGCTTACCTTTTTTCTAATCACAAACGGATGTTATTCTCTTTAAAGATATAAAATAATTTGAAATAATAATTATGTGAATAAATATAAACGAGATGTTTGATATAAAGTTCGTCCACTTAAGCTATAATAATCGACCCGCTTTATAAATGGATAAATATAAGTAGGCATAGAGCAGCATAGCATGTAATATATATATATTTCTTTACATTTGCATTCCTGTTATCGATCAACTCGATGAGAGATAATTAACGTCGTGATTACTTACCGTCACGATCTCAAGCATCTCTTGTCGTGAGATATATCCATTACCGTCGAGGTCGTACATACTGAAGGCCCACTTCAATTTCTGTTCCAATTTTCCTCGGGAAGTCACGCTTAGGGCGCAAAGAAATTCTCGAAAATCGATCGTACCATCGCCATTTGCATCGAACGTTCTAAACACGTGCTCTGCAAACTGTAACAAATAATTTGCATAATAATTAACTTTCAAATATACTAGATTTATTACGATAATATCGTCTCGCATTATTAAACGATTCATTATATTCTTACTATTGCAAAAAAAATGAAAAAAAAAAAAACTTACTTTCGAGGCATCGCCGTAAGGAAAAAAGTTTCCATAAATTTTTTTAAATTCTTCCACGCTTAGATGTCCACTCGGACAATCTTTTAAAAATCCTTTGTACCATTCTTGAATTTCGGCATCTGCAAACAACAAATATCAAACACATTTTCTTAATATTATATTAAACGCATTATTTGTATTTTATATTTGTAATAAATATTTTTATTATTAAATAAAATTAATATATCATAATGTATACCTGAAAATTCTGTATTTTGTTTAAGATCTTCTAACACCTCGGGCTTTAATTTGCTATTTTGTTTCCCCATTGCTATTGAAAACGTTTGTCGAGACCACCCAATTACAAAGGACAATTTAAGATCTAACTAAGCCTAATATTCTACGAATGCCTTTAAGCACAAGAAAATTTGTGCTGTGCAGCAGACGTACCTGTAAAAAAGGAGATAAGATATTATATCACAATGATATAACTGTTACATTATTTATTTTTCTTTATTATTATTATTATTACTATTATTATTTTTTTATTATTATTATTATTATTTAATTTTTTTGGTTTATTACGTAACATCTCTTTCACGGTCATTACAGAAGGTTTAAATGAACAAAATTCAAGGTTGCCGAGAAGAATATTGTCGGCGTACACTTCGTGCCATGTTTCATAACAGTACATAGAGTACAACCACAATAATCATGCATGACAATTACAAATGATTGTTAGGTTAATATCTAAATACAGATTTAATATACATTATATGCATGTATATTCATTACAGTGACAACATATTAATATTAATATTATTATTATTAATTTTTTGTTGACTTCCGAGGAGCTAAAACATTTCCTAACGATGAGGAAAAACTTTAGCTTTTAAAATTGACTGGATCCTTACCAAACGACGTTGTTTTTCTATTTTTTTTTTTCTTTTTGATAGATAATAATAATCTTTTTTCACGCTACTTACATTCTCAGCATTACGTATTATTACATTCTTTTTTCTTTTTTTGTTTATTTTTGTTTGTTAAACTAATTATAAGAAACAATACAAAGCGACTCGTGTTCGCGCTCTCATTTAAAAAGAAAAAATCTTTCTTTTTCTTCCTTTTTTTTTTAAATATTACAAAATATTTCTCAGTACATTTATTTATTCGTAGAGAATAATTATCATATCTTATAACCGATAAATCTATGTAAGCGTATTAACGTTGAATTTTCTTTTCTTTTCTTTACTTTTTTTCTCTGTCCTTTTTGTTAAGATATATCTTTCTAAAAAACACACACACGAGATAAGTAGACACGAAGTGGAGCCATTTTTGTAGATTTATTGTAATGTCAAAAATCGTCTATTTCTTCAAGCAATTTTTCGACCATTCAGTAAATATTTTTCAATTGCGATCTTCTGTTTATATAATATTTGATTGACAACAAAAATATCAGAATAAAAAAAAAATAAAAATAAAAATACGAAATAGGAGCGAACGAGAAAAGGCAGAACGAAAATAAAAAAGAATCGTTTGGTCGGGTATCGAATTCGGAGAATACGAGTTATTGTTTGTTGGTAATTAAATTAATTGTTGCGAGAAAAATTAAATAAATTAATCGGTCATTTCTTGTGATGATATCATAGATATATATATATATATATGTATGATACCGATCAAACGAAAATTTCCACGATTGGTAGACGTGCATTATTGGTCCATTTATTGGCCTGCACAGCCGTGTTGTCCTTATGCAAATGTCCTTAAACAAATTTCATAAGTTGTCCTCGTCGCGTGGATATTATTATAATCGTTTATTACTGTTGTTTAGTAACGAAAAACCAATAATATTCAGTTTCCATCTCGATGTTCGTAAGATCCTTTAAATTCCCATTTTAAATAAAGTCCTCTCTCGCCACCGATATTTTCATATATAAATGGAATATGTATGTGTGTAGATGTGTGTGTGTGTAATTGCTGTTAATAATTATAATTGTAATATAATGCATATGTTTATATGTTATTCGTGAGAACATAATAATTTTAATAATTTTCTTGATTTTTTTTCTTTCTCGGTAAATGATATCTACGCGCGCACACACACACATACACACACATTCTCCTAACGATACGTACAAGCAATTTCGTTTAATTGATTTTATATATATATATATATATATATATATATATATATTGTTACAAGTTTTATTCAATCGGCCAACAAATATACAATTAATCTAACATTTGTGCGCGTGCGGTTTTCATCGTACAAAATTAATTAATTGCAAGTCTGTCCCGAGCTAGGCATATTATTTAATTACACGCACGCATATACGCATAATCCAGGCGTATTACGTATACGTACTCTTCTCATCATCATAACACCAACGTAAGCTTTGTCGAATATCCTACAGTAAGATTTACTTCCGCATATTATACCATTGCATTACAATCCATTTTATAATAATCTATCGAACGATTTGACAAACCGTTCTGATTTCTTTCCCGTAGAAAAGAAATTATACCTTTTTTTTTTTTTTTTTTTTTTTTTTTCATGGGACAGAGACAACGACACGAGTGACATTTTTCGAGAAAAAAAATCCAAAACAAAAAAAGGAATTTTTTTTTTAATTATTATTTTTATATTACTTTTTTTATATCGATTAATTTATATAAAAAATTATTGCTCAACTTAAATGCATCACTTTGACCAACGCATTAAAATCACGCGTGTCTCTCTGCCCCACGCGTTGAAGTCACGTGTGTATCCCGTAGTAATTAAATATTATCGATTTTCGAAGATGTAATTTTTACATATTTCACAAACGCACGCATCTTTTAGCTGCTGTTCATGGAGTCCCATATAATATACTTATCGAATGGATAAAAGTATCAAGATTAAAACCCTTAAGAATGATACTTGGTATCGATAACTTTGAAAAAGACACGAATAAGAGAGTAGTGAAAAGCGATTCGACTTAAGTGTTAAGGTTTTTGACAGTGTATCTCTATAGGATGATGAATAAAATTAATCATCAAATATTAGAGAAAAAATTTAATAGGCGATATTTAAAAAAATATGTTTCTTTGTCTTTTTTTTCTTTCTTTCTTTCTATTCAATTAACAAGATATTATCTCCTCGCAATTTTTTTACTTTCATGCTTGTACTAATTAAAACACATTTTTTTCTGACCATAAATAGGAACGATAAAAAGAAGAAAAAATAATAGAACTTTCGTTGTTCCTCCCTGTTTTGTTCAGGATTTTTATTTTTATTTTTATTATTATTATCATTATCATTATTATTATTATTACCATTATTATTACCATTATGATTATTATTATTATTATTACCATTATTATTATTATTATTATATTGTTTTTTTTTCTCTTCTTCTTCTGTTAAAAGGCAGCATGATTTTCCTTAGGCTTATTATACTTAGGTTTAGGCTTTGTACATGGACGAGTATGTTCAGGTTACTGTTATTACATTTGTCGTTAAGGACGATCAATTCACATTTACGATAAGAATATTTTCTTCATCTTCTTTATCATTATCTTTCTTTTTCTTTTTTTTTCTTGGACATGGAGTTTTATATTTCGGTTAACAATAAGTTAAGACATACGTTAGACGAATCGCTTGGAAATGAGAAATAAATAAACGATAGACAGACAGACAGACAGACAGACAGACAGACAGACAGACAGACAGACAGACAGACAGACAGACAGACAGACAGACAGACAGAGAGAGAGAGAGGGAGAGAGAGGGAGAGGGAGATAGATAGATAGACAAATAGAAAGATAGATAGTTTGATTCCCATTTGTGCCAGTTTCAAAGCAATATTTAAAAGAGTTGTTGTTTTAAAGGTCCTCAATTTAACATTTTCGTCAGTCAATGTCTTTTCTTCAATGTTTCTTTCTTATCTTTTCATTTTCTTTTAAACGAATCTTGTCTTTATGGTCGTTTATTTTCCTCGTCGTGCGTGTATACACTTCACGAGACAGATTTCAAATAAATATTATACATCATTTTTTTGGTTAGTTGGTTGAATGATTGGTTGTTATTTTATGTTAACGTTTTCGCCGTTTATCAACAAAATAAATTCTGGATTGACTTTTCACGATCGCTATTGTCATTGATTGGCTAATTTTGCCGAAGAAAGATCATACGAGAAAAATGATGTCGACATTTTATTGATAAAAGTATGCCTATGTAACGTGCGTACTGTAATTATACGCACCTCTTGTATTATACCAAGCTTTACAAATTTTCTTTTTTTGTTATGCGAAATTTAATAGTAAATCGTGAAATGTATAGAAGAATATAGAATATAGAATGTAGAAAGGTGTTCGTAATAATATTGCTTGTTTATTATATACAGGATGTCCCAAAGCAATTGACCCATTAAAATTCATATGTGCGTGATTCGAAGAAAAAAAAAATATTAGAGCAATTTGAAAAACTCGCTGTTTTGATTTTTTGTTGATATTTTCTTTTTCTTTTTTTTTAATTCAAAGAATGAAATTTAAACGTTAAAAAATAAAGAAACGTGAGTTTTTCCAATTGACCTCATATATATATGCGTGTACAGAATTTTTCTATCTTTTCATTGTTTTTATTAAATGTTTATTATAAACAATAGACATTTGGTTCGATCGCGATCCGTCAAATCAGTTGATCGATGAAAACGTCGTTCGTGTACGAGTATATTTTAGAAAAAAACGAAAAAAAAACAACTTTACCCCCGTACCCGCGTAAATATCGTATCACCGAATTCGTACGTTGATTTACAAAAAATAATAAAAAAATAGAAAAAGTAAAAATAGTAAGAAAATATACTTTCTCAAAAAGTCAGCTTCTATTCGTAAGGAAAAGGAAGCTTTTTGTAAAAAATCAATGCGTTAAAAAACAAACAAATAATAAATAAATAATGTTAAACATTTTCTGCACGCAGTATAAAAGCGTAATTACGCATTTGTTTGAAAAGAAAAACATTCTGCATATCGTTAGCTCGATTTTCTTGAACGAGACAATAGTTTAGACAGTCGTATTATTTATTTCTACCTAGAAAGAGCACCTGATAGAAGCAATCACTTATAACCGAGTATTCTGCTTCTTATAAATAATCTATTCTGTTGTGTTGTTGTTGTTTTTATCATAATTATTATTAGCTCGCGCAACATCCATTGTATACCTAATATACCAAGGTAAATGATCGCTGCGATATATAGATATATATATATAGATAATCGAGTATAAAAAAGATAATCGACGTGAGTACAAAATCGATATCGATTAAATCGATTCGTTTTTTATCGATATAATAAATGAGAAAAAAATATGTTCTCTTTTATTTTGCATATATTGGTCATGACTAAACCGAATTATCCATTTAAAATTATTAAACTATAACAATAACAGTAACAATAACAATAGTAATAATAATACTAAAATTAACAATAATAATGATAAAATTAATAATAAAAATAATAATAATAATAATAATAATAAAGATGATGATAATGATAATTATGATAGTAATTAGGCTATCTACTCTACGTAAGCCGATATCAAATTTTTGTAATAATTGTTTTTTTTTGGCTACGTCATTATTTTGAGAAAATAATTAGAATAAGAGATATGGAAAGAGAGCAACTTTCGTCGTAAAGAAGTTATTTCTTTCTCACGCATTTTTTGTTGTTGTTGTTTTTTGTTTATCTCCCCTATTCTTAACAATATATTACTTATGAATATAATCATTTTCTATACAGTCTAAAGATGTGATTGTTAAACATATGAGTTAAGTAAACGATGAAAGGCTACCGTAGACGTAAACCGATTATTTTGCTAGATACGACATTGCGACATATTTATTGCTCAGAATAATTAAAATAAAATTTACACGAATTTAAATTTACACACTATGTATAACTGACTAATTAAATTTCTTAATAATTGAATTGAACACCAAAATATATTGCCCAAGATACGTGTGTCCGTGTATATATATATATATGTACACAAATTATCAAAAAAATCATTATTGTTATAGCGATAAATTTACTATTACACATATCTATTATCTTTGTTAAAAACTTATTCGAAACTTATACATCATAGAATTATTCTAATGGAATATACCAAATTAAGCGTAAATTAGTTATGTTATTCGTTAAACGATGCGTTTAAAAAATAAAAAAAATGAATCTCAATATATATAACATCCATACGGAAGGTACATTGTTAGAGAATCTTATCAGTGACTCCTTATATTCAGTATGTTTAGAGTTAATTATCGTTCTCTTCTTTCTCTCTCTTTTTTTTATTTTTCTTACTTTCTCTCTCTCCCTCTCTCTTTCTTCCTTTCTTTTTTTTTTTCTTGAACATTTGATAAAGTATTACATATACTGAGAGATTGATTCGAATCTGAAAGCAGTGTTACACATCTTGATAATAAAGAAAAAACGTTGAAGGTACTTATAGATGGAGGACCATCTTAACAATTTGGTATCTAACGTCTAACACTGGAATTAAACTTCATTGTACCAGCGTATGTGTGTGTATGTGTGCGTGTGTGTTTAAGTTTAGGAAGAGGAGTATTTATTTAATCGATATCCTTAAAATTCCTAAGTAATTAATTAGTATATGCTTGGTATTACTATTTCGAACGCGATTGTAATATTTATCTTTTTTTTACAAGAGTAGAATCATAAGTAGAAATAGATTTCTAGATGTATTTCTCTTGTATATATATAAAAAAAAAATTTATACAAAAAAAAATGTATTATTCCATTCTTAAAAAGAAGTATAAGAGTTAACAAATACATTATGGACAAATATTTTTCATTTTGATTATCCCCTGTTAGCCGATAATAACGATGAAATCAGTTTTGGGACATCCCATAAAAAAATAAAATATAGATTAGTATTGCTCCGCAGTTATATTCACGAGATTGACACAAATCTATAAGTGCGAATGAAAGAAGAAGAATAACAGCGAGAGAGAGAGAGAGAGAGAGAAAGAGAGAAAGAGAGAGAGAGAGAGAGAGAGAGTGAAAAAGAGAGAAAGAGAAAAAAAGAGAGATAGATAGATAGATAAATAGATAGATACATAAATAGAGACAAGCGAAACAGTATAATAATAGGAAAGATTAAGGAAAGCGAGATAAAGTTCTTTTTTTCTTGTTAGATAAAGTCGAATTTAATCCGTTATTAGCGTTACGGTATTTAATCAATTGCGTGAATTAATTATATCACTTAATTAAAGTGTAATTAACAACGACATTCGTTAACTATGACACATATATAGTCATCGATATCGAACGAACTCGTCCGGTTATATTATTCTTAACAGCTAATTAACGAAAATTTGGTGTAATAGCTTAGAATAAAGCCTTTTATTTAATATTTTATTTTATTTTTATTTTTTACTTAAACGTTCAATGAGTGCTACTATCTTTTTCTCTTTGTCTCTTTTTTCTCCCACTCTGCGATAAATTATGGTTTTATCTTGTAAAGAATTTTGAATTTCAGAATGATAATTAACAAGGAGATTATATATAAATGGCTTTCTATTACGTATAATGCACTTTAGGTTCGTTCTCTTTAAGCTTTTTACGTAATTCGTTTTAAGGGATTCTCTCTCTCTCTCTCTTTTTCTCTTGCATTTTCTTTCCCTCTCTTTCTCTCTGCTCTTCTCTTTCACTTTCAAAGAGGAAACTTATTAATTCGATTGTCAATGCTGCACTTTCTATTACGAGAAGAAGAATCACGATGTCTCGTTCTGCAATATCCTTCAGTCAGTCGTCAAAAAGTTGTGTTGTATTGTGCTAAAAGAGCAAAGCGAACATTTTAATGTGTGTGTATGTGTATGTGTGTGTGTGTCGTTTCTTTTTCTTTCGTTATTTTTTATTTATTTAATTATTTTTTATATATATATATTTCTTTTTACCCGTGAACAATATAGAAGAAGAGAAGGTGCTGTCATGTGTAAATCGATGACAGTGAGTACATTTGTGTATGTGCAAATACTTCTAATTCGTTTAAAGTTTTGTATATTGGATTTTATATTTCTTTTTCTTGTTTTTTCTTTCCTTTTTTTTAAATTTAAATCGACATTAAATTCGCAAGAGAACGTGGATCCAGAACGACAAGAGAACAGATAATAACGGGGGTTTACCCGCTTGATTTTCTTCTCTCTCCCCCCCCTCTTCTCTTTTATTTTTAATATTTTTGTTTAATTTTCGTTTATATTCTTCTCTCTTTTGGACCAGTTCACCAAATATTTATCATCTACGACAAATACGTTTTTATTATGTTCACCAATATACAAAAATTTTTTTTCTTCCGTTTTTTTTCTTCTTCCTCCCATCTTTAACACGTTACGCGCCGCAATTAGCTACCGATGACCAATAACATCTACACTCTGTAGGGATTTTCGGCTGGAGTTATTTTTTATTTATTTATTTTTTTTTTTAGATTATTTATGGTCACCGGTGACCGGCAGTAACGCAGGAACCCTACACATAATATTGTTTTCCGGCGTAGCGGAATTAAAGTCGTATTAGATATTTATTGTTATACGGCGCTAAACGTGTTAAATACGTATATATGTATTTATATATTTATGTATATATATAATGTAAAGGTGTTTTACATTGAAAACACGCGCGTATACCAATGAGAAAAATGTTATTCTACGACAGCTTGACGTAGCTCGTTCTAATAAAAATACAGAGTTGGTCGAATTCTATCACTAAACAGAGACCAGCCTGTTTTCTTCCCTCTTTTTCTTCTTCTTATTTTTATTATTTTTTTTCTTTTTTTTATTTTTTGGTTTTTTTCTTTTTTCCTGTTCGTTTTTTACTCCTTTACTTTTGTTAAGGAAGTACATAGCTAAAATAATATTCGAAATATTGAAATATATTCCAATCATTTGTTAATAATAATTTCTAATCGTTCACGGTATTATTTCTTTGAATTTATTTGTGTACGGAAAATAAAAAAAAAATGACGTAGGAATACATGATTAAGAGGTATTAAAAAGAAAAAGAAAAAAAGACCCGTTTGTTAACACTTACAACGTGTGCACGCGATTACTATTAAATATACGCGTCGATGATTTTTTTTCCATCGAAATTTTTGTGTAGAAATAAAAAATATTCGGCAATAATGTGTTATTAATAATGATAATAATAATAATAATAATAATAATAATAATAATAATAATAATAATAATAATAATAATAATAATAATAATATAAATAAAATTATATTCGTTCGAAAATAATAGCAATTAGAGAATCGACGAATTTTCAAATATTTTTAGCTTCATTATTTTATTCTTGATTTCAAACGATCGTGTTTCGATGATGTAAACAGAACGATCGTTTGAAATAATTCATCTAATTCGTTTATTTGCTAATACCATATTAGAGAATGTGTGTAGAGCATGTTATGTTAGTTTTTAACCTATTTGCATCCAAGCGCGGAATAATCCGCGGGCCGCGACAATTGACTATCACCAAGCGCGGAATAATCCGCGAGCCGCGACTATCTGCTATCACCGAGCGCGCGGAATAATTCGCATAAGAAGCATTTGTTTTCCTATCTGTGAGCACTTGACGGTGATACCGGTCAGTCGTCAATTGAACGTCGCTGATTTTTCAACGAGGCAGTTTGAACAGACCGATGATGCAAATCGGTTAATGGCTTTCCCTTTCCTAACATTGAAATTCCAAAAAAATAAAAACAAAAAATAAAAGAAATTAATATCCTTCCATTATTTGCATAAAAAGCAATGCGAATATTAACGATCGTTGAACTCGCAATTTCAGTCGAGTGCATTTTCGATGTTCATTTTCCTAATTCTTAAAGATTCGAATCGTTCGATAAGCCGCTAAAATTTACGGTTACGCACATTAATTACATATACAAGATGTAATTAATAAATCCTTTCTTCATAAACTACGACCACATTGGTGCGGTAACCACGACGATGATCTTAACAATTTTTTTAAAAATCTTTTCGGTCCAGTGTGAAATTCATTTATCGATTTATCGATTTAATTGATAATATATAGCAAATTAAAACGACTATTATTATTATTATTATTATTATTATTATTATTATTATTATTATTATTATTATTACTATTATTATTATTATTTTTATTATTATTATTATTATTATTATTATTTTTATGGGAGTATATCGCAACACATTTTTATTGTGTGCGTTTTGATCAATCGATTTCGCAATCTATTAGATTCGGTAATCGAATTGTTTGCTTGTTCACAGATTTTCGAGTGAGAACAAATCTTAATAATCAAGTGACAAAATATCGCATTATCAAATAACGCGATTGACTTGAAAAAGATTAACCTCAAAGTTAAGGTCATACGCTCGCAGCATATAATTATAGTTTCTTTTTTGTTATGCGCGCGCGCGCGAGTAAGTCCTTAATCTCACAAAGTATATTTCAACTTTATCATTTCTTTTCTGTCCTTTTTTTTTTGTTTCTTTTTGTTTTAAATGTTTTAAATTTCCTCTATATATATATATATATATCTGTAGATTAAGTTGGAATTAAAAATTGTTAAAAGTGTTCGTAAATTATCGGTGTTCTTGACGATGATGATAAACCCCACCACCGCCTATGTCGTGACTTTCTTTTACGTGTTAAACAAAAAATATAAATCATTCGTCGTCTAATTATAGTCATAGTCATAGTCATCGTTATTGTTATATCTGGTCACATAATCTCATAAAAAGACGAAGGGTGTGAATTGCTGCGAAGCGTAGAAGACGTTGCATTGGCGACAAGTGATAATAAAACGATGGCAACTGTAATGGTGGTGGTAGTGGTAGTGGTAGTGGTAGTGGTGGTGGCGATGACGATGATATTAAGTGATGGTCGGTGGTGGTTTTGAGATAATTTAATAATGGTGTTCCGTTGATGGTGATCGCATTGTTGTTGTTGATGGTAGCAGCGGCGGCAGCAGCAACAGCAGCGGCAACAGCAACAACAGCAACGACAGAGATTGTAAAAATATAGTGACGGTAGTAATAATTATTTCATTATTCCAGAAATCCGTCATAAAAATCGGTCAAAACGCATGTCAATGAATTTTCTGATTTATTTTGGCCAATCAGATTAAGGAGCCAACATTTTGGATAATTCTTCGTCTTGAAGGCAACCCTTGAGAAATTCTTCTTGCGTCAATTGGCCATCATGATTTTCATCCATTTTAGCAAATATATTTTTAGTTCTTTCTTCGGCGCTGTCCGCTGGCCTGTTGCTCGAACATGCACCTAGCATATCGTATATTGCCTGAAACACGCAATATCTCATCGTTATTTCGCTATAAAATATGAACCAACATAAATAAAAAAGAAATAATAAAAACGAAGAAGTAGAAGAAGTAATAAAAGAAAAAAATCATATATCTTGAAATTGATTTATTATAATCCTTACTTGAACGATCTTAGTCATCTCTTGAATATCAATAACGCCATTTCCATCAACGTCATACATCCGGAATGCCCACTTAAGTTTTTCTTCCGGTGTACCGCAGGACGTAACATCGATAGCTAAGAGAAATTCCTGTAACGATAGAACGAAGAAAAAAACGGGCTTTATAATCCTGAAATTCCCTTTTATCGTTTCTTTTCCTTTTTTATCTTATTTTATTTTTATATTTCAATCAGTAAAACGCTTTCTTGATTTCCTCCATTTGAAAAGAAAAATAACAAAAATTCGTTCTAAATGATGGAGGTTTTGAGAATTAAGATGCTAAAGGAGAGGGGAGGGAAAGGAAAGATCGTGCTCTTATAATATCGAGATCATGTCAAGAGAAATAGAAAAATAGAGAAATAGGAAAAAGCAGGGGTGAGCTGGGTTGGCCTGGGGTTGAAAAAGATCGAATGTTCGGGTGAATATCCGAGGAGAAGCGGGAAAGTACGATGGGACACGGGGGTTTGGAGTAGTTGCTCGTTTTTCGGAGTATGTGGGTATTAGTACAAAAGAGTATATAGGTAAAAGTGGGTCAGCTAACGCTCCAAGGTAGATAGTCAACGATGAGAAGGGCTTTGTAGGTAGGGTAAGACTGAGGACAGCGTACATAGAAGGGTGTGTATGAGAAGAGGGGGAAAGGGGGAGGGAGTGGCTTCGCTCTTTGCTCTTTCTGACCTTCGAAGTGTCTCCACTTCTCATATTGACCCAGCAGACACGTCGACCCCTCTAGAATCACCCTTCCTTCTTCCACACATCACTGATTTCGGTCTTACATTGGGGACATGATTCTTTATAAAAGTCGCAAAAAAGTCGTCGAAAAGTACCGACGACTAGGGAGAGAAAAGGGAAAAGGGAAGAAAGAGAAAAAGAAAAGGGTAAAAATAAGGGAGAGAGGGAGAGAGAGAGATTTAGATTGCCCAACCGAAATTACCAAGAGGGTGAGTGAGCATTTCTCGCGACTTTTTGTCTGAGAGAGCATCGACGTCTCTCTTTTTTTTCTTTCTTTCTTTCTTTTTTTTTTATCTCTCTGTGTGTGACCGAAATTCCAACAGCAAAAGACTCATTAGTATATATACACACAAGTGTTGTGTATACGTGTGTGTACGTATGTAGATGAAATCGCCTTTTCGTACGTTTCACGTGAATGAACCTTTGATCAATGATTTTACTTTAAGCAGGCATAAGTTATTATCCCCCCCCCTACTTCACCCCACTGTGCTCATAGAATTCCTTTTGATCGAATTATATGCGCGTGAGAGCTTATTGTTTTCGTTTATTTCTTAATTTAAATGTTAACATATTTTTTATTCGTGATGAAATCGATCGTTATTAAAATAATATTTATCCGTTGTCGAATGCTACGTGTCGTTTCGGTAAAATACCCTCGTATACATTTCAATACGAGAAACGATTTTGCTTAGAAATAATAATAACGTGATATATTTCGTTTGAAAAACAAAATATCGTGTGTTATATAGTATTAAAAGAAAAAAAGTGATCAACTTAGTGTTCGCGTCAAAGAATATAGAACTTAACAGTTTATAATAATTCTATTAACTATACGTGATGCTCTATATAATATCTGTTATCTTTTGCCTATGCAACGTCGTATAATAAAAGACACGCACACGCGTTCAAGTAAATGAAATTATCGACGTTCTCTCGTCAATATATATAAAAATATCCCCTTACCTTAAAGTCGATATAACCATTCTTATCCATGTCGAATGTGCGGAATACGTGATCGCAAAATTCTTCCGCATGGCCAGAAGGAAAGAACGTTTTATACATATCCACGAATTTTGCTGGCGTTAATCTGCCGTTAGGACAATCTTGCTGTAATCATAAAAAATAAAATCAAATTTTAAATTAAATGAAATTATAGACACACGCACTCATATATATATATAATATTATTTTTGTTTTAATTGAAATATTAATACAGCAATGTACTCACTTTGAATCCTTTGTACCATTCCTTGATCGTGGTTTCGTCATATCGCGTGCGTGACTTAAGAAATTCCATATCCTCTTTACTCAACTTATCCTTGCTCCCAAAACAACCCATTTTGAAATCTGAAATTAAAACACACGTTACATATTATATTACAAATGTTTCCTAAACACGAGCTTTTCGTTTAAATGAATTTTTCTCAAGTTCTCGATAACGTTCCGCATTGGAAGATTTTTATTCCCACTTAATGCCAACTGTAAAGATAAATTATAAACTAATGGGATAATTATTAAAATTAATTATCGTGTTTACAATACTATAATAATATTCATTCCATTTTATTTTCGTATATATTGTCTCGTTGTTATTATTATATTTAATCTACGTTATTCTTATTGTTGATGATGATAAAATAACGATATTCGAACATCAACAAAATTTTCTTTCTTTGTTGATTTAAAAAAACAAAAAAAAACATATAGAACAAAATCTATAATTTTAGGGTCTCTCGAATAAAAGTTTTCGATTTGGTTAGTTATACGACCAACGGTGAAAGCGAGTTGTGTATGTCGCAAAGAAGAAACGTACTGTACGTTAGGTTTGGCAGGAAATTACGAAGCTCGCGTGCCTCGCATAGTAATCAAAAGTACATAAGAGGAACGTAATGTCGTAATAAAGAGTCTGGTATACGCCGATAAACTTTAAAAAAAGCAATGCGACGGATGTAAGAAGTAAAAAAAGGAAAGAGAAGAATAAGAGAGAGAAAGAATGGAAAGGGAAAAAGGGAAGAGAATCTATCAACCTTAAAAAGAAGAAGAATTAAATACAAAAATAATTATATACTACGTAGATAATAATGTTCATTACTTTAGGATTATTCTTAAACCACGTTAAAAAAACGAAATAAATAAAAAAAAAAAAAAATGAAAAGAAAGAAAAACAGAATAAAGAAGGTAAGAGTAATTAACGACCAAGTTTTAGGGTTTCTCAAAATTGTCACTAAAGGGTTAGGACCTTTTCTTTTTTTTTTTTTTTTGCATATAAGTACAATCCACTCTCTTGCTTTTTGACTTTAATCTCAAACGTAGAAAACGTCTTCTTACTTATCCTCTCCCTTCGTTCTTTTCTTTTCCCCCTTTTGACTAATTACTAGAGTTTTTTTTTTATAAAATTGAAAACAAAGAAAAAAGAAAAAGAAATAGATTATAAATTTTAAAAGGTTACTTCAAGCCTGCTGGTATCGTTTTAAAAAAAAATTGTACAAACAAAAGGAATGCAAAGGATAAAGATAAAGATAAAGATAAAGATAAAGAAGAGAAGGAAGAGATTTAGGTATAAAAGAAGAAAAAGAAGAAAAAGAAGAAGAAAAAGAATAAAAATAAGAAAAATTTAACTATCGAGAAAGGGTTGTGTTCGTTTACTGGTGATTTGATTTTCTATTAGAAAATAAAAGAACAAAAAAGTGGAAGAAGAGACATAGGATTTAGGAGGAGGGGAAAGAAGAGAGATTGGCAAAAAGGGGGATGTTAAAATGGGAAGAAAACTATATATATACGTGTACGAGAAGAGAGAGATGGTAGCGTGCGATCTGCATTGGCCGCGCGCACGCAGAGACGCGCAGAGGCCTGGGAACCGCAATCAATATAGCTACAGTTACTCCCACACTGGTATAACACACACGAGTGAATACACACACGAGTTCGAAATACTCATTTTATCGAAAAACAAATTGATAAAGTAGACCCCCACCCCACCCTAAAAAATGACAAAGAAATCGTGTTAAGTATAAAATGTTTTCGTGTGACCTCGATCAGCCTGACGATGATTATAATAATAGCCTCTGGAATTGTGTTATACATTTTTTAACTAACGTCTTTATCATTCGAGATTTACGTATTCCTTTTTTGCATAATAGATCGAACAAAAACAAAATCTACAAATCATATGAGAGAGAGAGAGAAAGAGTACAGGAAATAATATATTGTTTATATGTGTATATATGCGAGGCATACATATTTGCGTATGTATGTATATATGTATGTATTTATGTATGTATTATATATTTGGAAAACATTATAGTATGGATTCGAGAGATAATCCCCGATTATATAAATCCTTTGAACTGTACATTATCCGATTTAGGTACATATATGAGAGCAACGGGTTAACTGCAAATACAAGGGGTGAGTCATATAACGCTTAACATCTTTTGTGGTACGTTAACGATTTGTATATTTGTGAAATATATCGTTAAAGCATTAATAATCGAGTTAATAGAATGTCTATTGAAATCGTGGTTGAAATCTAACGAAATGAATAATAATAATAATAATAATAATAATAATAATAATAATAATAATAAAAATACTAATACTAATAATATACAAAATAAGGATAGAAAAAATATCAGAGTTGCATTAAATGGGACTAGAAAGCGCAAGTTAAAAAAGAAATTGTTGGAATGGAAGTCAAACCAATGACAATTTGAAGGTGAAACAAAACAGGTTGTAGCAGGTTGTTTATAGCAAGATACGTATTACCCAATTAGAAACTTGTGTCATTTGTAACCATTATTCCGACTATGCACACATTCGTTCTTTAGTTGGAAAAGTTTACGAATGCTGTTACGAGTTCTCAATTTTTCTATTTCTTTCTCTTTCTTTCACACTCTTCATTCATCTATCTATCTATTTTTTTAATCCACGTGAGATACCATTACAAAAAAAAAAGAATGATATGATCATTTTGATTTACATATATATAAAAAAAAAAGAATGAGGAACACGCGAAGATATAGGATTGATGTGCAACGTATGTTGTTCAATTTGTGTGTTGAATGAAAAATTATGTGTTTGGCATCGAGCCATCGAGTGCGTGTGTTCTTTTTCTATGTTTTCTTTTTTTTCCTTCTTCTTCTTTCTTCTTCTTTCTACCTCTTTCTTTTGTGGGGGGTTAAAAATCTCCTCCACCCCTTCCTCTTACTCCGAAAAAACACGTGCAACTTTACACGATGATGATGATGAGTCAATTCGAATCATTATTTACTGAAACGATTACACATTTATAAAAACACACTTCGTTTGTAATAACATATGCCAGGAGGAGGATAGATATTCGTACAATGAGTACACGTGTACTTAGAATGTATACAGAAAAAAGGGTTGCTCCAAATATCTCTCTCTCTTTTTCTTCTCTTCTTTTTCTTTTGGGTCGATCTCGTCGACCGTATCTTTTTTTTTCATCCTTTTCGTCGCGAGTTTTTAATATCGACCTTATTAAAGAACGCGGGCTCGTGTATACAAGAGAAAAAAAGAAAAAGAAAAAAATTTAAAAGAGAAAGAAAGAGATAGAGATATGGTTTAGAAAACAAAATTTCTCATTTATCCTTTACACTTTACTGATTCTGAATATAAAAAAGAAAAAAGGAAAAAAAAATCATGCAACGTATCGCACGAACAAAAACACGATATTGGCTGAGACTGAAGAAAAGATCGAAAAAAGGGGGAAAAAATGAGGAAAAGGGACATTTAGAGAGAGAGATACTGCTTCGGGTATGCACACACACACATATACACATCATACATACATACACATACAAACTAGATATACACATACAAACTAGACATACACATATGCCAACGTCGGAGTAGGACTTAATGACAGGATTATCTGATAATGCACGTGCTCGCTTAAGGCGACCATTATGAACATTACACGAAATAAATCGTTCGTATAATTCCTCGTTTTTTTTTGGTTCTTTTTTGCTTCCTCCTTTTCTTCTTCTTCTTCTTCTTCTTTTTCTTTTCCTTCATTTTCTTCTTAAGATTTTTTAAAAAACAAAATAAAGGGAAGAAAAAAAGGAAGACAAGAATAAGTTTATTTTTTTTTTATAAAAATTATAATATAGTTATCGTTCTTTAATAATGTTAACTCAAGGGAAATGGAACGAGAAAAAATGGAATTTTCAGCAGTAGCTGAATTAATTCTTTCGATTTATTATCAACGATGAAAATAGAAAATGGCTCATATATTAAAATTGCAAATCTTAACGTCTATATCATTAAGAAGATCTACAAACGAGGACGGATTAAGGATTCCAACGTTGCGCCAGATATTATTCAATCGTACCTTTTACTCGATCCGATATCAATCGTGAGAATATTTTATCATCGTCCTAAGAAAAAAGAAAAAAAAATATCGGTTCTCGTAATATATAGACGAGACGGTTGATTCATTACGATGAAACCACGACGTCAACGTTGTAATCTTAAACGTTCGATCGTTCTTATTTTCCATTTTCGTCCCAATGAAATTCAATTACCTCGTGGATCTTTTTACGATCATTTGGATTCCTTTAACTCTTTCGACGAAGTAACTTATTATATAGTACACGTAATACTTAGACATATATATTTTTTTTCCTTGTAGGTTTAAGAAAAGAAGGTAATAGGAAAAGAAAAAAATTAGTATCGTGAACATAAAGTGGACGACAATGAGGAAAATTGAAAAATTCAGTTTATTTAATGTAGAGAGATACGTTTCGTGCGAGCAACGTCAAAAATTTCTTTCTCCCCATCCGACAAGGAAATTGATGCGTCTGTAAATCATTTCGTGGACGCCAAGAAAGAAGATATTATTGTTGTTGAAGAAGAAGGAGGAAGAGGAGTAGTAGAATAAGAAAATAATAAAACACGAAATATACGTGAGAGGAAATGTGATGTATGATTTTAGCACGAAAGTGCGATTTGTCAAAACGTCTTAAATCAAATGAACGTTGTTATTCGCTATGTGTTACGTGAGAAGGGTAAGAAATTTATTGGATTCGTTAATGAAATGTGTTTCATCGCAGATAAAAAAAAAGGCCATGTTTATTTATAACAATTTTCATTTCTATTTCGTTATCACGTTTGATCTTATTAACCGATAATCCACTTTCTCGTCAGCGTTGTTCTATTCCTAAAATTAAAACAAATAATTAATAATACATGCTCTCTAAAGTCATTTTTGTAATTAATCTTTTGATCTCTTAAACAATATATTAATAAACGTAAACGCGTATAAATGTAACTTCAAAGAATACCGCGTGAGACACGTTATTTTACAATTTTTAATTTACATCGCG